TGACAAGCCTGAAAAAGGCCTCGCTTTAGGTTCAAACACGGCTTTTGCGTAGCAATATTTCTCTTCTGCAGAGAGTACCACGACGTTTGCGCGTGCACGACACCTCATTTCACATAGATCACTCGACGCTTCCGCTGGCAGCGTCGTTTTGCTTTCCGGGCCACACCACACCGTATCATCGGTTCTAAGCTGGTGTGTTGCTTTTCTTCACCAGTTGGAAATAGATCTTGTGCTGCAATAACGTCTTGTGTTGCATGTAAATTACTCCTTTGCGAATGAATTCTGCGTGAGTCCTCGGTGATTTTCATCGTTGTCTGGTTTGATCGAAGAGATGTTACACCACCCGTGAACGCATCGCTCGACGTTGCCATAATCATCGTATTCCACCGATCTGGGATGCTGAATGCTTCACTACGTGAAGCTTGTAGAGACCCGTGAGTACACCACATCGTTTCAAAGCAATACTTCATTTTTGCGGAAGCTGGTTTACAACAGCACGGCTTAAGCGACCATATACCAGAGCAACATAAAATAACATATTAGCTACATTGACGTCAGTACAAACAGCACATGATAATAGGCAACATTACCTAGTATACCTATTGCACTTGGATCTCGTCTCCGAGCCTCGTACACGAAAACACAAGTAGCGCTTGTTTACAAAATTTCTCAGTGTTTTGTCAAATTCATCCCAATCCTCAAACACTTTCTTGGGAAGTTCTTTCACGAAGGTCTGTACTGGCACTTGCGTCTTTATCACCTTCTCGCGAGTTTCCCAAGTCTTAGTCCGGTGTGTTGGTTTATGGTCTTGCTGACGTGGAGATATCGCCCGGGAGGTCAGGCCACAGCGAGTTTAGCTTTCTTGCGATGCGCAACGGTGGGTCGGCTATCACGACTGCCGGATTTCCGTTCAGCAATTCCTCTGACTCTGTTCTTTTTTACTGAAGTTGGGGTCCCTCAGGTTTTGTGCTAGAAAATCAACATTATAAGTAGTAGCATACTTAACGTTAGGACAACGACAAAAACCAAGCGTAGATCAACTTACTCAAAGTTTAGCTTTCCCAAAACCGATATTCTCCTCCACAGCAACGCCGAATCCACCATTGTATTCCTGTCTCAGATATCGCCTGCTCAGCAGCGGCGACCTCATCATCGACACCGCTAGCGTCCACCGCATCTTTTGGAGTGCGCTTCGATCCTTCGTACCCACGACTTCCACCGGTCTCACCGTTTTCTGCTCACCATGCGGTTTGGACGAGCTGACGGATAGTGGTTTGTAAATCTTAACAAGAACAATGGTCGTTCAGTCATGGTACAATTTAGTAAGCTTTTCGAGCTTCCATAACATAATAACACAACTTAATTTGGCAACATATTATAGCAACACAAGGGTCCCGTCGTGGCAACTTCGTTCTCAGGCTCGATATCAACCGCTGTCTCAGCATCCTTTCCCACCGCCACATCTTCTTCACCTTCGCAATCGCAGCTCCATCGTCGTTCCCGAGATAAGCTCCTCGTCGGAGGTATCCCAGCTCACGCCTTCGTATTCGTCGTTCACGCCGTCGTCTGTAGCGAAATCCAGCTGGTAGGCATCATCTCCGTCGTTTGCCTTTCACAAAGCCACGGACTGCAAGAACGTAGTCCACAGGCTTGTGCTCACGCAGTAAAGCACGTCTCTCTAGCAATAGCGTCGCACATGCACCAACACATTAGCATTTTCATAGGTAGCTCGTTGACTCTGGACCAGTACGTTCGGTTTGTGGATCTTGCGGCCCTGCACCCTCTTTCACCTTTGAGAATGGCTCTTCCGCATTTGCCTTCGCATGCATCATCTACTCCCCCCCTGTAGGTGTTACCATTTTTCTGCTAGTGACCGGCGTCTTGGGCGATCGTGTAGGCGCCCTTCGTCGTCAATCGTGCAGGCCGTCGACGTCGTATCTCGTTTGCGTAAACAGAAATGAAGAGCGGGAATCAAGCTGTACTTGAGCGAATTTTGGCGGAGTCGCTACTGCGACATAGTGACGACAACACGATAATGGGCTGACAGCAACATAGTGTTGCTTCGAATTTATCTTTACTTATCTTTCAAAAACATTTGGCGTAGCTTCGAGGAAACTAATGCGAATTTCAGTTTGCGTCTAAGTACGAAAAAAACATGTTCCCGTTTAAATACGATGTGCACTGGCCTCTCATTTTGCGTACACAGAGGGGAAGAGAAGCCAGGGGCGCAGAGCAAGCGGCCAAGGATGACACGGCAGCTAGGGATACCAGAAGCACAAGGTACGACATAGCTACGTGCGCCTCTTTGTTGCCATCAGCTAATGCTTTATATTCTAGTGCGTCGCATCGGCTTACGCCCTGTGCAGGCAGTCGACTACGTGCGAGCCGTCCAGGGTATAGCCAAAGATTACTCAATCGACGAGGACTGCAAAGAAGAAGAAGAACGCGCTAACGGCGGAGATACGGGCGCCGTCGATGTTGTGGTCAACGCGGACGATGTGGACAATGTGAACGACACAGACGATGCAGACACAGAAGCCGTGGAAGACGACGACCCAGACACAGAGACCGTGAAAGACGACGACAATAGGCTACTCGGGGATTCCGATGACGACGTTGACGACCGGACTGGAGACGACGGAGCGGCCACCGGCTCGGACAATAGGCTAAGTGTGGACGCTGCTGGCGATGCGAGCACGGGTGTGATATTATGTTGCTTTGCTCGTGCTGTGTTGCTTGTGTGGATTTGCTAATCAGTACGGTCTGGTATGTTGCTATGCAAAAAGAGTTTGACAGGATCGTACATGAGTTCATACGCGCGGCTTGAAGCAACGCAGAGGCTAAAGCTTCTACGCAACGTCAGCCTCCGTCAAATGCACCGAAAAGAAGAAAAAAAAGACGTCATGCTCCAGACGACGACGCTACCGGAGGGAATGCATCACTACGCAAAAGTGCCAAGTCATCGTCGGTAGAGATGGGCTCTGTTGCGCTTGCCAGTGAAACGACGTTGTTGTAAACCCGCCATCTGGAACGACGCAAAACGAAGACATGGGAAGCTCGAAAAAATATGGTTGAGGGCCACCAGTCTGTTACAAACGTGATTCCAGGACTTCCTCGCAAGACATTTTTAAATTGGGAAGCCTTCCACACAGAGTTTGATCGCTATCAGGCCGAGCACCTCGTGCTATATTGCATTAGAAGCTCGGAGACCAGAGCGGTAAGTGGCATTCATTTGACGCATTGGGTAGAAATACTAATGTGTGTTGTACTTTGCGTTGTGATTGTCGCTGCTCTTACATTGCTTAGTCGGTCTGGAGCAACGCGAAATTCGGCTCACTTGACACACAGCTTCAAGAAGCTGTGGTGCACGCATGGCACAGCGCAGGCTTCGCGAGGTGAAGGGCGTCGTCAGTGTGGTCAACGTTATACCGGGTGCGAAGCCAGTTTCGTAGTTCGCTCGGTGAAAGTGGTGAGGGACGGAGTTGCATCGTGGAAGGTTTGCGTGATTCCAAACTCGGAGGTAAGCATCGTACGTTTTATTTGAAAGCCGGAGTCTGACTTGTCTAATTTCTGTTTAGATATCCACGCACAATCACAAGACAACGAAAAACATCTACGATTCATGCCGCGGTGCGAAATCCATGCTACTGCCAACTGACGTCCGCAAAGATCTCGGTCTGATGATGGAGATGAAAGCAAGTACGGCCGCGATCAATCGATACCTGTCGAATACGCTTGGTGGGTGTTGCTGGTGAATGTGTTGCTCCATTCCCTGTTTGCTTGTCGCTACTGGGTTTTGCTATTAGGTCAGTTGTTGCAGTAGTTAAATTAACTTCCCTGGTTTTAAAATATTTTCGAGCACAGATATGGTCCTGACCCCACAACAAACGAGGAACGTACCGCAACAAGTGCATGGCTCAACGACGTTGGAGCGAACAAGAATGATTGTGGACACGGTTGTTCAAGTGGACGACAACGATGTTCTTCTGGTGCAAGACCAGAAGGACATTACGTGTGTTATCGCATTGCAGACAGCAATTCAAAAAACCTGTTTCAAGCAATGGGGGACAGCTTAGTGATGGATTGGACGCACGGCACAAATAATATGGGCTATCACTTAGGTTCGTGTAGTATTTGCTCCTTTACCTCCGACTACTTTTAATTAAGGGCTAATGTGTACACAGGAAGCTTAGCTGTCACGTCGGCAACTGGAAGAGGAATCCCTGTTATTCATTTTCTTGCGTTGGACCAGAAAACACAGACAATGACGGAAATCATAGCGTTCTTCAAGCGGAACAACCCCTCCTGGCCATCTATCCATCCAAACAGTTGTTATCGACAAGGACGACTTCATCAAATGGCGAGTGCTCGAGACAGCCTTTCCCGACGTCAAGATACGTTTGTGCCAGTTCCACGCATTAACATACTGGCGAAACGTGTGCAGGAGACCGAAGTACAACCTAAAGATGGCACAGCTCGAAACGATGGAAAAGGCGTTTGGAAAGCTGATATACTGGTAAGCTGAACAGTCCAATGTTGCTCGCTATGTTACGAAATATGTTGCTCACTGTGTTGCTATGTTCTTTTGTTGTTGCTACCAGTGCCACAGAGAAGAAGTTCAATACAGAGCTTGTGGCGTTTACAAAACGATGTGAAGATGAATGCCAGGAGCTTCTCAAATATTTCACGGCAAACTGAAAATCGTGTCTGTCAATGTGGGCAAACCATGTCCGTGGAAAATACTTTTCGGCGGGGAATACCACAACCAACAGAATTAAATCGAACTGGGACGTCGTGTGGGGTTATAATGATCGCTCAGGTATATGCCATGCTAAAAGACAGCTTTCGATCTTCCAATACCGCCCCTACAGCCGATGACATTGTCGTTATGCGACTTCGTATCATGTGGATGATACTTATGCAGCCAGAGGTGAGTACGGTCGCTAACAGAATCGCTAGCGCTATTGCGCAAACTGATCTAGAGCTAGCTGCGACAGTAATTACCAAATAATAATCTTTTTAATGTCCTTGTTAGATGTCTTAGTGTGCCTTCTCTTCATCCTTGACAAGGCTATTAGTGTTCAAGCAGAGCCTCGAAGCATTGCTCCAGCAACACTGAATACGAGGGCACATATCCAGTACCCAGCGTCGACACACCAAATGCTGATGCAATACAAAAGCCCTCATCCTTTTCGCGCGAGATAATCGCTGCCAACTCATCGCGCTCGTTCAGCAGTTTCAAGGCGTACTTGGCAATTTTCGCGAGTCTTTCTTCCATCACCTCGATCACTTGGAGCCTCGAAAGCAGCATCTGCTTGCAGACAATCATCTTCTGAGCTGGGGAGAGGTCGGCATTGTCTTCATCGCTCGCAGGGAAAGGCGTTTCACGCGGCAGTTCGCCCTGATCAGCGTTCGATTCATCCATTCCTGTCACTTAGTGCTAATGTAATGTGAAACAAAGTTTCATAGCTGTTGTAAATATTTTAATTGGCGTCGGTAACTTCATTTTCTCCGTAATTAATTCGTGTCTCCACAGAATATGCTACCGCCGATTCGACACAATGTTGCATGTTATGGTTCTCCTTGTGTGAATCTGCCTGCTTGTGTTGCCACAAGAGCCGTCGTGCTGTCGTCACTATGTCGCAGTAACGCCGTCCGAATTTGGGTCATACTAAAGCTACATTGACAATAATTGGACCTTTCATATTGTAACCCTTTTGCTACCAAAACCAACGAAAGCTGCATGTTTTGCAATAATAGGCGGCAGATCCTTCATAAATAAGCGAAACTTATTGGTTTTATAAAACACGTCATTTAGTATTTCTCTATTTCGAAGGAACTGGCCCTTATAATTATGGCCAATGGCATTACGAATAAGTTTCATCTTTGCTCAAAATGATTCGACATATATATCGTATTTTCTCCAATCAGCAGCCAGGCGCAAAACGACGTTAAACACGCAGGAAGTGTTGGTTTTTGTTTTTGATGGCTAGTGACCCATTGTAATTCCCTTTCAAAGTGATAGACGCCAGTGCGGTATACATGTATGTCGGCAAAACCAGCAGATTATGTTGCTGTTACAAAAATGATAGCTTTTTTTAATGGAGTGCAATTTAATTGACCTACTATAGGAAGCAAAAGGGTTGAAGAGACTTTTAGAGAAAGAAACAAGGAGTTGAATTTCAAGCAACATAAACGGCAGTTATGTTGCTCTCGGCGGCTTGTCGTGACGTTGTAATTAAGATGCGAAATCGACTCCCGACGCCGAGCCGGAGCACATCCGAGGCCCTCCAGTTGCATCTGATTTTTATTGTCGACTAGGCTCATAACTACGAGCGCTAGCTTGGAGAGCACAATACTCAAAGTAAAAAAAGCTCGGACGTCGTGCAGAAGATGTTGGAAGCCCGTCCCATTTGCATAAAAGGACCCAAGGAAGGTTTTTTTTAATATGTGCTGCTAGCGATGTTAAGTTGCAGGATTTTTGGGTGCCTGGTATTAAGTTGCAAGATGTCAAACGTTTTGGTCACCTCTTACACACAGCTCGAATTGACGGTGAATCGGTCTTATTCACTATGATCTATACTTACGATTCCTAAGTATATTTATTTTGTTTAGACATTCCCCATACACGTGCACTAACGTGTAAGCCGACGTAAGGGATGCTAAACCGTCTGCCACACAGTAAGCGAGCTTCAATTTGACCAATCAGATGTCTAAATTTGCCCGCTCAAAAAATACCATTTTGTAAATCAAGTCTATTTAGCAGCAGTTTCTTAGATGCCTGAAAAACAAAATCCGCAAATCGATAACTTAAAAAATATAGGCACGCGTTGCTGCGCCCAACTGACTAATCTGAGACGAGCCTCCTGCACTCACCCACCCTTAATAACGCCGACGCCTAAACTGCACCCAATCAGCACCTAAAACTCGAAAAAGCCAGTTTTGAAAGTATACGTCGGAAGCGTATACCCGGATGTCGACGGACTTCGCTTTTGATGATGTGTATTCGGATTTTAGTGTGCGACTTGTGTGGGGCAGCAATTTGGCGCGGATCATTGCAACTTCATGTTGACCGTGCAAGCAATGCTGCTGTGATGACGGCTGTGGTCTGTCTGTCGTCTTTAACATTCCTGTATAACAGCTTCGAGATGGATACTTCATGTGAGCAAATGTATTTCGCTTAGTGAGCTAAGTGACTACCACCTCTTTTTTTTAACACCCATGTACATACGAATGTATCGCTAGCGAAGACGTTGCAGTGACTTCTTGTCGAGATGTCCAAGCGGCTCGGCCCCGCAGAACTGTTCGAAGGCGAGTAGGGCGTAGACGCCGCAGTTGTAGCTGCCCACTTGCACCCCAAGCTCGAACTTGTACGTTCGCACTCGTGGCCTCGGCCTCACGCCGTCTGGTAGTTGTAATAACAGCATTTGAGTGACGGACCGAACACTCAGCATGTAGAATGACGAGCCGGAATTGTAGATCGCCACCTTGCCTTTGTCGAGGTTCATCGTAATCCGCGCAGGCAATCTCCTCGCGCACATATTGCGCGCAAGAAATTGGCAGAGTAACACCGTTGCATCTGGAAATGCAATCTTCAGAACCGACATCTCCGTGAAGTCTTTGTCGATCAAGATACACTTGATCTTGGTCCAGGCCTAGTGGTTTCGTTTAAATTCTTCTAACGCTGTCATTCGAGTGTGTCGGCGCTCCTTTTGGAGGTCTGTATGCCGAACGAACCTTTCACAAAGACATCATGTGCCATTTCTGAGAAAACCTTATACTTGGAAGCCTTTGTTCCGTCCGTCGCGTCGATCATCAAGTTCTCAGGGACACGGTCGAATAGTGAACGCATGTGCCCCGTCTTCAATGTAATTCAAGTGGCGATTGTCGGTAAGATATTAAAGTGTTTGAGCTGTGGATTAAAAAAAATAAAGTCAGCTAACTCTACCTTGTGTCCCACCAAATCGAAGAAGAATCCGTTAGCGTTTTCAGGCTCTTCACCAAATTCAATCATCTACTTTTCAGTCGTTTTGCGCTGGTGGGAGCCGTGTTCTCCTGAGTTTTCAGCTTGCGCCCAATATTGTGAACGTCCTGTGCTGACGGATTGCGCTGAGAGTTTTCTTGAATGTACTTGAGTATGCGTTTCTTCTTTGCACCAGCTTTCCGGAGCTCGTTCACCGTGGCTACCACTTCAAGCTCTAGCGCAGTGCGCACGTGCGGGTACTGGTTGTACGTGCGTTTGTCAACGGGGTGATTGTGGACCAAGCGTACAGAGGTGATCCGCAGAATAAAGGTGAACATTTTGTCGCTATCAACTTGAACGCAGGCATTTATTAAAAAAATGAAAAATTACCCGATTAGCACGAACTTAAATGACTGGCACCAACTCAGCCCAGCTGAGTTTTATAAATACCAAGTGATCCCAACTGAACGGCCACCATACCTGCGCTTCGCTCTCCATTGCTCTTGACAGCATCCCCTTTCTCTTCCCTTTTCCGCGGGACTTGAATGTCCCCTAATGCGTGCAAGTGAACGTCTTGCATGCTATAGTGAAAGGTGCGATGCACCATTCGAGCGTTCCTTATATATTTTAAATTAACTTGTTCTAATTGCTCAATTCATCAGGAAGTAAAGGTTCCTTTGAACCCGACGATCGGATCTTGTTGTTGCGCGCAGTGATGGTTTTAATTTTCCGAACGCAGAAGCTCTGCAGACACAGCACTTAGTGTCAGCATTGTAACTTAGATCGCAAAATGAGAGTCATTATCTGGTACGTGCGCTTCGAGCACTCGCCCAGATATTACTCGAGGTCCTCCCTCGACTTGAACTCCAGTCGGTCCAAGAGGGTCGCTTGCACCTCCAACCCGTGGTCATCGTCTGACCCTTCCCGAGTCTCCGAGGATGCGCCAATTCTCCCGATCGCCCTTGCTTGGACTGGCCGCTGGTATTACTGCTGTTCTCGACGTCGGAATCAAGCCATTTCTCATCGCTGGACACGTGCAGCGACGTCTGAGAATTCGCAGAGGGGTGAACAGCTTCCTCAACACAGGTTGCGACGCGCGTCCAGCACCGGAGATCGTACGACGGCCTTCACTAGGAGATCACGCACCATATCATCCGTTGCTTTCCTCCCTCCGCTTTCTTTTTGAATGTTTTGAGTGGCGGAGCAGAAGTATACGCCCAGTATATGCTATACGCTGGACGAATAGATTTTTTGTGGTACGTTTAAGCTTTGACAATCGAGTTGGGCGCAGCACTCAATTTCAAAACAATAACGTATATTAATAAAAGCGAACAGTGCTTAGAGCCTATAGGACTATTGACTGGTACTTTATTTAACATAAAAAACTAATGATAGAAAAGACACTCCGTCCTCCTTCCCGCAGTCCCAATACATGTACATGTTAGCAATCCCCGATACAAAAAATAAGTAATTAAGAATTAGTTTTTTTACTTGTGAAACCGGAGTCTCTGTCCATGTTACTCTTACATTCTGCAACTAGCATAGCCATTCTGGCCAGACTTGCAGCATAATCATTCAAGAATGCATTCAGACCCGATGTTACTCAAAGCATAGCCATTCTGGCAAGACTTGTCAGAATACAGTAGCACACACATGCAATGAGCAACATGTGTGCACCAAGATATATCATTAGAGAACTTTAGATTCTGGAATAACTCAGGCTTAGGAATGGGAATTTTCTTCGTTTAGAAATAATCTGCGAAGGGGTCGCGTTATTCTACTGAAATATAACATTTGAATATCGATCGGTAATTTATCCGTCATTTATTCAGATTTTATCCAGATAATCGGGATTCCAAGCCTTGCGTTATTCCAGAAACTAAAGCTCTCTACTGTCAAAATGCAATTTATGTACGGTATCTGCAATATTTGTTTTACTTATTTTTCAAGGCCTTCTTTCCCTGTCTATGTGCTTTTAAGTGGCGAAGGGGTTCTCAATTCTGCGGCAGCAAGTTAAAACAAATGTTGGCAGCAAGTCCAGAATTGTTTTCGGGGATTTGATTGGCGGAACACATTTTTCTCGTTCTGCACAAAAATCAATGCAGGTCGAAGGGGTTAATGGTAACTCCAAAATCGGTGAAGCTAATATTGTGAAAATATCACCTGTAGACCAGCTAATACATGTATAAAAAATATCACCTAATATTTTCATCTGAGACAATATGATATTATTAAATATCAACTTAATATTAGGTAATACGATATTATATTTTTATAAAGATTGCGTAGTCGGGCTAAATTCATTAATCAGATGTCGCTAACGCTCGACTAGCTGAAGTATTACTAATCAGCCGTGAGGGAGGGACAATTGTGAGAGTGGCGGCAAGGTTGGCGTCGTGGGTTGGCACTGCTAATCTAGCGCCACAGGCAGCAGGTTTATTAGACGCACGATGTGGACGAGGAGATCGGTAGAGAACAAGAACGAATGTCTTGATTTCGATCAACGTTAAACCGCCGCAAGCGTTTGCAGTTTTCCATCTCGACTGTGTCACAGTGAAATACTAGAGCAAATACTCATCAGTCTTAAAGCCTACTGCTTTTCTATAACCTGATCGAAAAAGTTTTTTGGCTCCGCTAGGGTAAGGTGGCAAGAAACGTACTTGAGTGGGAAAATAGTATAAAAGATCATGTATATCTAATATTTTTCAGTATTCCGAGTTAAAATTAAAATATTATATTAACTTTTGCAAAAATGAGTAACTATTACTATTTAATATCGAAAATATACTATTACTATCATAAATATCATATGATATTTGGTTACCATTAGCCCCTGGCTGTAGATTATTTTTTCTGGCGGCCGTCGAAGATCGCATCTCATTCGAAAAGCCACCGTCCTCTTCGCACGGAGATCTCTTGTGCCGTTCACGCACGACGCGTTCCTGTCTGCATGGAGATATCGCAACAATATCTGACACCGTCGAAGAATCCTGCAGACACAAAGGGTCAAAACGGTAGCCACATGATCCTTAAAGGGCGCCGAGCTGGTGAAGTTGAGCAGGTGCAGCCAGCTGTGGCCTCTGCACAGACCATCGCTGGACATAGTATTCATGCGTGCTGTTGGAAAGGCTGTAAGAAGGTTCCAAAGGACGAAGGTGGAGACGTTCTCCGTGTATACAGCGACCAGAGCTGCAAGCGGGCAGTTCACGCTGCTTGTGCTGCAGTGATTCTATCTACATTTGAGGCAAGCGACACATTCAGCCAAACCGCTTGCGGAAAGCGCTGCTACAACGCGATAATGAAGCAACCCCTCCAACGTCGACGCAGTTGAAGAAGCCAGTCCCTTGGCACAACGACAGACCAACACCAACGGTTAGCTCAATCAGCGTACCTGTCGACTAACTCACGGATGGAAATAATTACAGCCGCTACAGAGGCGGAGACGGCCAAACTGGAGAGTCGAAAACGACGATTGCTGGCGGAAAGTAAAGCTAAAATGGAGGCCGCAGGAATAACAACCATGCGCACAGCCAAAGATATCACAAACAAAATTAGTGCATTGGAGAGTCTGTTCAGAAACGCCGAGGACTGGCGGAACTCCTCAGGCCTTGGCCAAGGCCTTAGGTTTAATGAACTTAGCATTCGTGAAGCCCTCCTACTTCGGTACTCGTTCTACTTCGAATTACGTGCTGTTATCTTTAATCGAGCAAGTACACACCCTCAGCTGCTTAACACGGATGCTGCGGCTTCAAAAGACGATACAGAGGATGACAGCGCCAGTTCAAGCGAATATGAGCCTTCCGGAAGTGAAGATTCAGACAGGTCGACCGATAGAGCTTCGTCCGCGCCCATTTCAATCGCACGAAGACCGCCAAAGCGCCAGTGTAAGAGAAATAATGCTGAACTAGGTCCTCTAATGAAGTTTAAAGAAGGGCAGCTTGCTCAGAGCTGTGAACCTCAGCTGCTGGAGCTTGAAGTGCGCAAGCGAGGTTTAACTACAAGAACAAGAAATGGTAGTTCAACAGCAACAGGTGGAGAGCGATGTGCGGTTCGTGTTGAAAAAGCCAACGCGCAGGCCGCAAAGCTGCACCAATGAGCTGAGCATTGGCGCGAGAAACGAAAAATTGATTTAATCCGAGAGCGTAACAAGTCGCTAAAGGAAGGAGTCTTGATAGCAGACATTGACACGCTTTTACCGATGAGCTCGTATTTCTAGCATTTAAGCTGGTAACTGGTTTCTCCGCTCGCCAGCAGCCATCCCAGCAGGTACAGGCGCTTTAAGCTCATCGTCTTCGTCAAGCTCACCAGTGATGCAGCTTTCAAATTCTTCTCTCCACTCATTAGGAATTGGATGGAAACGAGTAAGTTATGGATAATACCCGTACACAACACATACCGTATGAGACGTCTCATGTGCTTCTTCTTTTTTCCAAGCTGGACGCGGATTTCGCGTAAGTGTTGGAATCTCATTCTTAAAAGGCCAATGCAGTGCTCACTTTTTATCCTTGCTTTTGCCAACTGCTTGTTAAAGTAGCTGCTGTCAGGGTGAAGCTCATCCTTTGGAGGCTTTTTGTAAGCAGGAATCATGATGCGTGAAGTCTGAAACGCGGAGTCGCCAAGCAAGTATTCGTTGTGATGAAAATACTGCTCCGGGTTCTGACACAGCCACACGCGGTTGTCATGAATAGAGCCCCGCCATCCAATACAATATACTCCGCACTCTTGCTGCGTCATCACATGTCACGAATGCATTAACGGCGTACGATGACTTCCTACTGTAATATTCTTCTCCACTGTGACGTGGTTTGGAAGCAAGCGGCAATAATGTGCCGTCTGTGAGCCCGACACAGTTGACGAAACCATGTCTCACTTTGATTCGCTGCGCAATTTCACGACGTGGATCTGGTCACGTAATAGTTGAGAGCTTCAAGATTAAAACTGGCGCCACAGCTCTATCAAGGTAGTTCTAAAAGCTACCCTCCGCTAAATTAAGAAAAACCCCGATATCGAGGGCGGAATTAACATTGTCATACGCTCCAAGAAACTTCCATCAAATGTAGGCACACTCCTCCTCGAAAACGGCTTCCCTCCTTTTGTCTTGAAGACAGGGTGTCCTTCACGAGAGATACAAGTCGGAAAAACTCGGGGCGTCGAAGCCTAAAGTACTCCGTGTCATTCGTGTGATCACGATTGTAGAGCAAGTTCAGCCAGTTAGCTTTCCGTCTCCGATACTGTGAAGAGCGTGCTGTGTATCTTGTAGCTTGCACATACTCGTACTGTAGCGGCCAAAACTCGTCCAGCTCGTCTTCTCCTGGGTCTTTGTCACTGACTATCTCTCTATTGATCGCAGCGGCTTCACACGCAGCCAACGTCTCCCTAAGCTGACGTAACTTACGCTGCTTAGCTGACAGCCTCGGCATCTTAAACTTCCTAAGATCTCACAGCAGACAGATGCCGTAAAAAATTGACTTGCTGCTGCTGCCGCAAAAAAACGCAAAATGGGGTATTCAATAATGCTGGGTATGATTGGTAAGAAAACTATTGCTCGAAGCGTACCGGTAAACAAAAGCGACTTGCTGCTGCACAATTGAGAACCCCTAATCTCGCTACGATTTCAATCCTTCGCAAAATGATATTGACAGGTACGGGATCACGGCGAGGTTTCAGCCGACACCGCTTCGACTTTCTCTTTCGCCGCCTCGAGTGCGAAATCCAAGTTTTCTAGGTAATGTACTCCATTCAGAATTCATCAACAGAAATTGTGTCTGAGTTCGTAAGACTGGTTTCTTACGGAGGTTTAACTAATGTGATAAGGCAATATTGAGACAGTCGTGCATGCGCCAGTGGCGGCGGCTGTATACCGCCTCTACAAAAACATCAGTTTGCCTGCCGCTGCCGACCCGAATACTATGCGCCTAAGCGTCTAAGCTGCATCAAAGACGAACCATTGGCGAAAAATCTGCACCACCGAGAAGCTGCGCTATTTTTTTATCCTAACGGTGCTCGTCGGTCATTTTCAACGTGAGCTCAAAACTAGATCGAATCGTAGCCGTTCGACTTGGACTCGTCGTTCCCAAGGAGAATCTCTGCTTCGTCTGCTGGGCTACTGGACGCACTCTCCACTTTGCGTCGTCTTCTGTCACTCGATCCACTGCAGTGCGTCATAAACATGACCGTACAGAGCCCAACAAGCGCAGCAAGGGAAGGCAAGGTGCAGTACACCTGCCGCAAAAACTCGCTGTCTTGTTCCGGCAAGTCTTGGAGCTGCTGACGCGTGTTCTGAATAAACAAGATCGCAATACCGTTCGAGATTTTGTCCGTGAAGCTCATAGCGCCGTACACGAACGCTCCACTCTCGACGTTATTTCCGACCAAATCTCCAGTCAGACACACCGACGTGACCATGATGATAGAGTTGCCCATACCCAAGATGATCGAGAATGGGTACACCCACGTCGCCGTCTCCGGGGTCAAAAAGTAGGAGAGCACGAGCGCCACGACGATCAATCCAGCTCCTAGAGCGAAGGATCCAGTGCGTCCAAGCGACTCGTTCAAGTACCGTAAGAAGAACGTGGCTAGAAACCCCGAAAGGTACACTAACAGCGGCACAATAGCAATCGACGAAGCCGACATCTGCAGCGTCACAATGAGGTAGAACGAGATGAAGACTTGCGTCACATTCACCACCAGTCTCGTGCACATGTAGACCATTCCCACCTCGTAGAACATGCCGAGTTTGAACCAGCAACTCCACGTCATGTGGTCCGACGCTCCTACTACGTCCACGGCGGGGACGTCCAAGTCTCCTTCGCACGGGAAGGCGCTGTGTCCACGGCCTTCCAAATCGGCCATCACAGGGCTCTGCGTCAGAAGTTCCGCTGCGTCTTTGCGTTTCTTCTCCACCTTCACTTTCTCTGGCGTTCCCGCTAAGAATACGACAGTGCAAATGCCCCCAACTAGCAGCGACGTGCACGCTAACAGAGTGAATTTCTCCGCATCTGGCACTCCCAGTGGTGATACAACTCTGAGAAGCACTAAGAAGACACAAAATACCATCACATTTGACAGAATTGTGAAGGCGTAACGAGTGCTGTTAAGAACACAGCGCACGTTATCATCGTCTGATAACTCAGGCACCATGGCCATATGCGAGACTTGAACTGTCGCCCAGCCGATGTTAAAGATACTAGCGGCTGCGCTGTAGTAGACGAGTAAGACCATTCGACTGGGGGAGTCCGAAAACCAGCGTGGAGCGCAAGCCCCGAAGACGAAGAAGAAGCAGAGAATGACCAATAAGGAGCCAATCGCCAGCCACGTCTTGCGCCGACCCAAGCCGAGCCACGGGAGACCTGACGATCTGTCCGAGAAGACTCCGACCAATGGAGTGGCGAGTCCGTCTGCGATTTGACCGCAGAACATGACGACGGCCGAGTCCACGGGCGACATATCCACGGCGTGTAGCAGGAATACGAGGAGATACGAGAACCACGTGGACGCGCACATGTCGTTGAGCACGTGGCCCACGCCGTACGAGAGGTAGCGCACCGGTGTCCACTTGATGTCGGCCATGAGCTTTGAGTGGAAGGAGGTGAGGAGTGTGGCACAGATCTGTCCACGTGCGTGGCTTGTGCCGGTGGTGGAGGGGGGACGAACGGATATAGCTTGGACAAACTCTAAACCTGAGATACTTGATGATCTAGCGTAAGATGATCTTTAACAATGAAGGAAAACCGTTATTAATAGTTTGGTGACGCTGATACCGGTAAATGGAGAGAACCTGCTCTATTCGAGTCATTAGTATTAGCAGGGTATTCACATATCAATTAATAAAGGCTCTTTGCCGTAGAGAAAGCGCGTTGGCTTCCCAGCAGCTTGATGGGGTGCCACACGGAAGTGCAGACCCTGTACCGTACAGGCTATTCGGAAGGAGTCCGAATAATGTGCTATGGCAAGTTGAAACTGGAAAATTCAACTATTATAATAGTCGTGGTCGTCGCAGAGCCCGGACTTAAAAGGGAACTGTAGTTGAGGCCAGTCCATTAATGATGTAGCATGCCGTAATGGTGGTGGCGGTTTCGTCCCACGAACCCTAGATTTTTAATGGATAGGTCTAAGTGCAGAGGTCGCAAACGTAATTTTCCGGTTAACCGAACCGTCCGAAAGCCTGACCATACGGACCGTTCATGGCTGATCGGTTAGCCGAAAATTACGTGTAATTTATGTATAGAATGAAAAAAGGTGAAATACCATTTTCTTATTCAATATTTCCGCTCAAAATTAGGCGCCAAAATTCTTAATAAAGAAAAACATGCAAAAAAATCTACATGTATAAGGATGATGAAAAAGCAAATTTATTGACGGTGTAAGCATTTTGCATAGGGTCTTTTTCGACTAAACATTCTATTGGGATGACCGTCGTATTCACATTTGCAAACAAGCAAACTTGACGTACGTCTTATTTTTCCGTCACGAGCTAAGGTGGATATAATTTATTTGATAGTGCCGATTCCTTTTCGATCACCAACAATTCTATAACTTAGTTGACACCAACATTAATCGTTTCGACGACGCATCGAACCGATCTGGCCATCACTACTTCAAAAGGATGCTCACTTAATACGGCTGCGCGTATATCCACTCAAGCAACGGTCACTTGCCTCAATCACCACAACGTAGCCACTTACGACCTTCCGTGCCCCTCCTTCCAGTCTATCAGCGAGCATTGGATAAAAAATAGTATTTGACTCACGCTTTACGTGCCGCTTCTGCTATAGCTCCGTAATTTGAAAAATAATGTGAAGTGTCCAGTAGTAATCTGTCCTTCTGAGCGGGCACGTTGTTACTCACACCACGGTCGTTTTATTCTTCAAAGAACTGCGCTTTAGCTAGCGCGCTTCTTTGCATCGAAGATGCTTCAACTCGGTTGCGAAGAAAGTAAATGCGATCTACACTTGTTTGATGATAGCACTCGCTTTTATTATACCCATGCAGCCTCGCCCTCAGCTAACAATAACTATTCTTCCCTTTAGATCAAACTACTAAAGTACGCATTATGCAGTACAGCCAAAACACCGTGAAATCAATTTTAATATTAATAGACGACGGAGAAGGTTGTATCCTAGCAAAGCCTGCGGTAATCCTCGCGCGCTGAAAAGGAATGGCCAGCTAAGTTCTGTCAGCTCCCCCGCGACAAAACCAATTTCAACCAACGTCACCTCGAGTTTAAACGACGAAATCAAAACCAGACACCTCGGGTGACCAAGAGCGAGCAAAACTTTGAACCTGATGAGGAAAATATTCGGCTCATTAATGATGTTGCTGCTAGTAATTCTTCTTGATAACCTCTTTAATTTAATTAATAATTCTTTGTCTAGAGTCCCTATAAATCAATCAGTTCTTTTTAATCTGTATTTTAAAGAAGAAAAAACCTACTGCCCAGGTTTTTGGTGCATAGCCGTGCGACTATTGACCAGGTGTAAAGCACAGGTTTCGCCAGGTTTCTTGCCAGGCTGTAATTCATAAAGTAAAATACCATGATTTGAAAATATTCCCCTACACCTACTAGTCTCATGATACGGCACCTGATCGCACGTATCTCTGCAGCGCAGCTTCTCAAAATCCATTCATTTCCAAATTTGAGCCGTGCTGAAGGAATGAAGCGCAAAGTCCACTCTGAAGACGAAGCGTCCGTCAACGAAGATCCCCCAGCCTCTTTGTCCAGCGTCTCAGAATCGGAAGGTGAGAGGGAGGTGGTTACGCAGGTTGGCGGCAGTGCTAGCGACGAGGAGTTTCCAGCAGACCAGGAGGGCTCTTTTGAAGGGAAGGAGCTGCGTCGCTACCACACAAACTGGGAAAGCTGGGAGAAATACCGCGAATCGTATTGCGAATCCGAAAGTGCGCATCTTGTGGTGCACGAATCGGAGAGTGTCGCCAAACGCAACATGATACTGCGTGCTTCTAAGCGCGCTATAGACGGTGTTTCGATGCGATACGTACCCGAGACCCTTCCCCGTTTTCGTCGACGATACGTTTGTACGCACGGGTCGCGGACCCGCCGCCGTGGATCTGGAAAGAGACAGCAGTTCAAGCTTCGAGGTACTGGTTGTCCATTTCGCTTTACTGCGGAGAGTGTGTACCACAAAGGAAAGTGGATTCTAGAGATCAAAAATCCCATCTACACTCACAACCACAAACTTTTCCAGGACATTTACGAACATTATCCACACGTTGTTGTGGCATCTCCTACCCGGAACGACGGGAATAGCTGTGGTATTTACGTACTCAACTTTATGTGGAGGCTTCTTGACGACAAGATCAGCAATGTGCAGAAGGACCCTCAGCTGAATAGCTTTAGAGTTCAGATGTTGTCCGCACTACTGAGTCAATAAATGCACTCATTTCATGTCAGATATTGAAGTAGTGTTTGAGTCCGAGCTTATCCGTATTGCCGCCGGTAAAACCTCAAGTACAAAAACCTGTTTTTTAACCTGTTGTCAAACCTGCTAGATATCCCTTCACATATTTGGGATATCGTGCTGATATCGCTCTAAGTACAACTACCTGGAGTAAAACCTGTTTGAATACCTGGGATGATGTGGCGTGTCACGTTTACATGCACAAAATTGGTGTCCCAGACACTGTATGAGCACCACACAAGAATTGCAGACCTGCCATCCAATCATTACGATTACAGCAACCTCCGCACTTCAACAAATTGGGTTGTGCAAATCCTTTTATTCCACCGTCTCGTGAGTATGCAGAGCTCTAAACAAAACAAAGAAAGGCCAAGATGCGTAAATTACATTTTTATTTCAATGCGAAATACATTACGACCTGGTTTCAATCCTGCTTCAGGTTGTGTACCAGGTTTAATTCGCACATCTATGCACCAAAAACCTGGGCAGTAACATCGTGCTTTAAAGAACCAAAGTAACGAGCTATATCCTCGATGAACGTTCGATCAGACGTTTCCGACATGTCCAGCTGTGTTACCAGCTCTTTGGTACTCCGTTGCAGAGCTTGGTTATCATTTCTAAGCGCTTATAATACTCTCTTTCGGTGGGAGCATCTGCACTGCAGAGTGCGCTGATGAATTGAACCCACCAAATAAGGAGTTTCTCTTTCGTGTACTGTTGAATTACTTTCGATTTCGACAACTGCAGCACACATCAAAATTCCCGAGGGGGGCATGGATAAATCCAAATCCATTTCAGGTTCGAAGTCAAGTCAGGATGGTCTGACCTGCTTATACCCGAGCAAACGCTGCGATAATCCGCGTGGTGTGAAGCGGAGTGGCGAACTGCACAGCTTTTGCGAATTCCACCGGAACAAGGCTAACTATACTCAACGCCGTCTTGAGCACAAGCGCAAATACCAGCAACAGGCACTTCATCAAGTTGGCTCGCGTCCGGCTAAGCTGTTCCACGGGATACCGACGCCTATGCCATCGCACCAGCTATCCGACAATGTGAATGCGCTTGCTTCACCCTCGTCAACGCTCGATCCCGACGAACTTTGGATTCTGCAAGAGTTACTAGATGTTAAACATGTGTCAAAGGACAATGCTGATCGTGCGGACTAAGTTTCTATATCGCTGTTTTAAACTAGTATGCAGTGACAGACGCTGCGAATTGCCGTCGTTATTTCTGCCGTATTAATCTTGGTGCGATGGCACATGCACAGGCGTGGAGTTTAGTGTTGGATCACTGCCGTTTACTCGACAGCTCGCAGCAGAGTAATATCCACTTGGTACAGCTGAATATATTAATTTACATGTATTTTAGTACAGAAGTCCCCCTCAATAAGTCGTTTTTTAAATTTGCATAGGTAAATCAAAGCGATCTGGAGATTTGCTAATTTTACCTCAAATCCTTGCTATCCGATATAACGGGGTATACGAAGCTCAAGCTACGCTTATTCAGGGACTTCTGCTACTTACAGTTAACTTTGAATGTCAAAGTTAACTGTAAGTAGATGAATGTCGCTATGTTACCAAATTATAACAAAAATTTAAGGACAAAAATGAGGACCAAAAGTTGATGGCCTTGCTTGGCCTCAGTTTTGGTAGATGCTCCTGTGAGCATATATAGAAATGTATCCCTGTATTAGCTCTCTACAACCATACCAAAATTTATCGGACCGGATGACCTTATCGGACCTGTACCAAAGGTATGGTACATAGTAATGAAAACCCTCAAAACAAATATATAAAATCTAATGTTTATATGCTGTGGGTCACAAAGGTAAAACTTATAATAAAAAGAGTCCTGCGTGTGGACGGATGGCGGCGGGTGCGGCGGCAGCAAAGGCGGCGGCGGGTGCGGCGGCAGCAAAGGCGGCGGCGAGCGAGCGTGGAGACGGGTGCAAGGGTGGCGGTGACCAAGTGTGGTGACGGCGACGACAGTGGAAGGGTGGCGATGGACCAGCAGCCGAGACAGCAGCGATGGCGGAAGCGAGTGGATGGCGATGAAGAGCTGGAAGAGCGACGCGGCGCTGTGACGATGATAAGATGGACGTGGTCGGCGCGTTGCTTGGCAGAGATGCGGTGTGAACGGAGCTCTGGTGCATCG